ATGGATGCATGGATGGATAGATGAATATATCAATAGATGGATAGTTGGCTAGATGGGTGGGTGAATAGATGGATGGATAGGTGGATAGATGGATGGATGTTTGGGTAGATTAATGGATGGATGGACGGATTGATGGATGGATGTGTGGGTGGATGGATGGATGGGTGGCTGGGTGGATAGATGGATGAATAGATGGGTGAGTGGATAAGTGGGTGGATGGATAGATGAATGCATCAGGAGATGGATAGTTGGCTAGATGGGTGGGTGGGTGGAGGGATGGCAGAGCCTGCACCTGACAGTCCATCTGACATTAAAGCCAGTCTGATGGTGACACCACCCTCCGCTGCAGCAGGAGCAGGAGGCAGAGGTGCAGGATGAATGAGGCTTGCCAGGCCTCCCTTACCTATCCGGTGTCCCCAGCGCCTCCCCACCCTTTCCCTTGCAGCCTCGAAGCGAAGGATCCCTGTGTCCCAGCCGGGCATGGCCGACCCCCACCAGCTTTTCGATGACACAAGTGCAGCCCAGAGCCGGGGCTATGGAGCTCAGCGGGCACCTGGAGACCTAGGCTATCCTGCAGCCTCCGCCACGCCCCAGGCAGCCTTCCTGGCTGACCCTGTGTCCAACATGGCCATGGCCTATGGGAGCAGCCTGGCTGCGCAGGGCAAGGAGCTGGTGGATAAAAACGTGAGTGGTCGGGGCTGGCGGGAATGGGGGAGACACATGGGGCCACGGAGCCTCAGGTTTGAGCTCTGCCTCTCCAGATCGACCGCTTCATCCCCGTCACCAAGCTCAAGTATTACTTTGCCGTGGACACCATGTATGTGGGCAGAAAGCTGGGCCTGCTGTTCTTCCCCTACCTCCACCAGGTCAGCACCCCCCAGGGGAATGTGGGTCTGCGGTGGGCCGGTGGGGACAGGTGTGGGGTGGGGCCTGGAGATTCACCTCAAGGAAGGGTGGGAGGGGCCTGGCTCTGAGGGTCCTGCCCATTCCCCATCACCACAGGACTGGGAGGTGCAATACCAACAGGACACACCGGTGGCCCCCCGCTTTGACGTCAATGCCCCAGACCTCTACATTCCAGGTTTCAACCTCCTCCTCCCCTGCACCCCCCTCCATCTTCTGGGCCTGTCTGGGGTGGGTGTGTGGGTGCCTGGAGACCGAGGGTGGTTCTTCCCCTAATGACCAGTGTCTGCATGTGTGCCTCCCACAGCGATGGCTTTCATCACCTACGTTTTGGTGGCTGGTCTTGCGCTGGGGACCCAGGATAGGTAAGGGAGGCCTGGGACATGCCAAGTAGGATGGGGTTTGGGAGGCCCGTGGTTGGTCAGGAAAGTCTCAGTTCCAAGGTCTTAGTTCCCTTCTCGGGAAAGCCCCACCTTGCTCCCAGGTGGCCCACAGCCCTCGGGGTCACCACCAGTGTCACCCTCGGCTCCTCCCTCTCCTTCCTGCCCACATGCCTTGCGTCACCACCCCCTGTGCTGGGTGACCCTCTCCATCCACGCTTCCTCTTGGCCTCTACTACCAGACCCATCCTCATCCTCACTGTGTCCTCACCCGCTCCCCCGACACCCCTACTCCAGCAGCAGTCAGGATGGTCCTGTCTGCGGGCCTGCCCCGCCCTACTGTCCCTGGCTCCGGAACAGGCCCAAGTTCCTGGGCCCGGTGCTGCCCCTCCCACCGCATGCTCCGGTCCTGTTCCTTTCCTGGGAGGGCTGGCGTTGTCTCCTGGGACCTTGGCACATCCGCTTCCCTCTGCCCAGGAGCATGTTCCCCCCACCACTGCCGAGCATGGATCCATTCCAGCGTCGCTTCCTCAGGGAAACCTTCCTGCCCCCAGGCTAGGTCAGGCCTCTCCTCTTGCTTGCACCACCCTGTTCACTTCCTTTGTGGCACTGAACACATCTGTCATTAACTGACTGTTGAGGCCCTGGGGATGTGGCGGAGGCCAAGGCTTTGTCCCTGACCAGCTCCTTCCTGCAGGCTTTGGCTCCGTGTTCCCACTCCTGGGAAGCCCTCCCTGACACTTGCCTCCTGACTGTCAGGGACAGCCCCCTGTGACTCCAGCCCTGCCCGCTGTGGGTGTCACTGTCTAGGAAGAGGTCTGCAATCCTCCCTGGATGGGATTTCCATGGGAATAGGATAGTGCCCAGAACCATCTGGGTCACTGCCTGGTGTCCGGCCCCACCCAACACAGGGCTGTCTCTAGGTGGGTGCTGTGACTCGGCGGTCTGAACCGGCCAACCAAGTGGCGGGGTTTGCTGTCTGCAGGTTCTCCCCCGACCTCCTGGGGTTGCAGGCAAGCTCGGCCCTGGCCTGGCTGACCCTGGAGGTGCTGGCCATCCTGCTCAGCCTCTATCTGGTCACTGTCAACACCGACCTCACTACCATAGACCTGGTGGCCTTCCTGGGCTACAAATATGTCGGGTGAGTACCCCCGCCCTTCCTGCCAGCCACAGCCCTCGGGCCTCGTCCTCACACAGCCTCCTCTCCCTCCCTCAGGATGATCGGTGGGGTCCTCATGGGCCTGCTGTTCGGGAAGATTGGCTACTACCTGGTGCTGGGCTGGTGCTGCGTGTCCATCTTTGTGTTCATGGTGAGCTGGGGCTCAGGGCAGATGAGGCTGAGGGCACAAGCGCCCTGGAGGGCATCCAAGCAGAGGATGTCAGGTGTGGGGTTCAGACCAGAGACACATTGCTTAACTGAGGGGCCCTGGAGTGGCTGTCCAGCCTGGGGGGTCAGGAGGGCTTCCTGGAAGAGGAGGTATCCTGAGCCCTGGAAGAGGAGACACCAGCCAGGCTGCAGGAGGCTGGGGATCCCCAGCACATAGGCTCCAGGCTGGGCTCTCACTCTCATTCCACTCTCCTTACATGGGGGCTTCTCTGCCAGAATTTCCCTGGAAGGGGATTTTCTAGAACCCTTCCAGCTGGAGTCAGGGGTGCCAGTGAAGAGCACTGGGGTCTGTAGGCCAGCCTGGACTCCAGGCTTAGTTGGATCCTGGACAAATCACTTACTCTCTTTAAACTCAGTTTCCCAGTTCATGAAATGGGATGATGATACTTGCACCCCAAGGTGCTGGGAGGATTCAGTGTGAGCATGCGAGAAGCAGAGGGCAGGCCACGTTGGCTGGTAGGCCAGGACGGACCCGCGGACAAACTTTAAGTGTCTTCATTTAAAAGTTTAGACCAGGCATGTAACTCACATCTGTGATACTGGCACTTTTTTTTTAATACTGGAGTGCGATGGCACGATCTTGGCTCACTGTGACCTCTGCCTCCTGGGTTGAAGCAATTCTCCTGCCTCAGCCTCCTGAGTAGCTGGGATTACAGGTGCACACCACCACATCTGGCTAATTTTTGTATTTTTAGTAGGGATAGGGTTTCGCCATGTTGGCCAGGCTGGTCTTGAACTCCTGACCTCGTGATCTGCCTGCCCCAGCCTCCCAAAGTGCTGAGATTACAGGCAGGAGCCACCACGCCCAGTCGATCCCAGCACTTTGGGAGGCTGAGGCAGGAGGATCACTGGAGACCAGGAGCTTGATACCAGTCTGGGCAACATAGCAAGACACCATCTCTAAAATTTTTTTTTTAAATTAGCCAAGAGTGGCAGTGTGCACCTGTAGTCCCAGCTACTCGGGAAGCTGAGGTGTGAGGATCTCTTGAGTCTGGGCGGTTGAGACTGCAGTGAACCAAGGTCACACCACCGCAGTCCAGCCTGGCGGACAAGGCGAGACCTTGTCCTTTAATAAAAATAAAGATAGGCTGGGCGCGGTGGCTCATGCCTGTAATCCCAGCACTTTGGGAGGCCGAGGCAGGTGGATCATGAGGTCAAGAGATCGAGACCATCCTAGTCAACATGGTGAAACCCCATCTCTACTAAAAATACAAAAAATTAGCTGGGCATGGTGGCACATGCCTGTAATCCCAGCTACTCAGGAGGCTGAGGCAGGAGAATTGCCTGAACCCAGGAGGCGGAGGTTGCGGTGAGCCGAGATCGCGCCATTGCACTCCAGCCTGGGTAACAAGAGTGAAACTCCGTCTCAAAATAAATAAATAAATAAATAAAATAAAGGTAGCATTCTGGCGTGTCTTCAGAAATTGCCATGTGGCCAACATAAGAGGGGTGACAGCAGCCAGGGCCATGTCTCCCACACCCTCAGGCTGGTGTCCACCGTGAGTCCCCCCTTCACCTGTTCCTAGACCTTGCCTGGCATTTGAGTGTGGAAGCTTCTCGTATTTTATTCACAGGGCCTGAGGAGGAGGAAGTCCTCACCCTGTTGGGAGGTTTGGGGAAACTGAGGCCCCTGGGAGCAGAAACCTGAGGCTGCATAGGGCCAGGGACTTGTCCCCGGCTGCCTGGGGCTTCTAAGCAGAGGCTGGAAGTGTGTCCAGGCGCTCACCCTGGCCCAGAGGGCTCAAGGGTAAACCCCTGATTCCCTTCTTCCTTCCCCCCCAGATCCGGACCCTGCGGCTGAAGATCTTGGCAGAGGCAGCAGCTGAGGGGGTCCCGGTGCGTGAGGCCCGGAACCAGCTGCGCATGTACCTGACCATGGCGGTGGCAGCAGCACAGCCTCTGCTCATGTACTGGCTCACCTTCCACCTGGTGCGGTGAGCGTGCTCGCTGAGCCTCCCGATACTGCTGCTGCTGCTACTGGGGGCCACTGTGGCCGCTGGACTCATCTCCTGCCTGCGGGCCCCAGGGTCCATCCTGTTTGGGCACAGGCGCCGCCCCCATCCCAAGTCCCGCCGAATCCCGCCCCCAACCCAAGGTGCTGAGAGATCTCCAGCTGCACAGGCCACCACTCCAGGGTGTGGCCACTGTTACAGAAACAATAAACCCTGATGGTCATGAGCAGCCTCTCCTTGGCCATGTGCACAGATGGGCAGGGCGCCTGGCTGCCCGCATGGGCAGGCCCAGCCCTGGGCAGGGTGCAGGGAGCTGGGGATGGGCTGGGGCAGGGAGCTGGGGATGGGCCTGAGCAGGCACCACACTGACCAGTGGCAGAAGGCAGAGAGGAAGGTTTAATGAGCCCTGCCCAGGCCCCTTCAGTGGGGAGCCTCCTTCTTCTTGCCCTTCTCCTTCTTCTTCTTCACTTTGGGCTTCTTGGCCTTGCCCGGGGTGCTCTCCTGCTTCTTGGAGCCAGCAGCTTGGGACTGTGGGGCCGAGGGCAGGATTGGGAGAGAAGAGATCGTTCTGGGCTGGAAGTGAGACTGGGGATTCCCTCCCCCTGGCCCCAGCGCTGGGACCCTTCTCTGGGGTGCAGGGCACATGCCTGGGGTGCTGGCAAGAGCCCCTTACCTTCACATTCGTGTCCGAGTCGCTGGAGCTGCTGCTGGAGTCCGAAGAGCTGTGGCGGCCTTGCTGGATGGGGGTGTGGCAGTGAGGCAGGGCCCCTACGCATCCCCTGAAGTTGGAAGCCCACGGCAGGACCCTGGGGTCAGGGCAATCCCACCCTTCCCACCCCTCTGAAGCTGGTGGTGAGGAGACTTACCTTTGAACTCGGACCTCCCCCTGCCTCCGACTGGCCCTGAACTTTGTGGGGACTGAGCTTGGGGTCTCCCCCATGGCCCAACCCCAAACCAGGCTTCTGGGAGGTGGGCTCCAGGGCTGCAGAGAGAAGAGAAGTTGGGTGGTTGGTGCAGGCAGCGTCTGGGCTTGAGTCCGGCCCCCTACACCTCCAATCCACGCTCCTCAGCAGCTCACCTGCTCCCAGGTCGAACTCCATGGCAGTAAGAGATGTGTCCCAAAGGCTAAGGGCCCTGCAGAGGAGGACGGCAGGGGGAGGAGCGCTGAGACCTGCCCATTGGAGGAATGCTGAGCGGCCCCACCTGACCTCTGTCCTGGTCCTCAGCCCTGATTCACTGCGGGCACCACCCAGCATTTCCTCTGTGAGAAGCGGGGGGAGATGGACAGCTGACTATCCCCCCAGTCTTGGTGCCTGAGGGGAGGCTGACTGAGGGGGGCTCTGTGGATGGCATTCAGGGAGCTGCAGGTTTCCCCCCAAAGCTCAGATGGTGGTTCTTTAAGAGGGAGGTGCTGCCCCGCCTTCCCGGTTACTGCCACAAAACAGCCTCCTGGCTGGGCGCTGCTACAGGGGCGTCTCAAGTTCTAACTTGCTCCCACAGCCCCTCCACTTGGTGAGCAGCATCGGAGGGGTGAGGGGTGTAGGCCTGGAGCCAGCCTGCTGCCCTAGATGCCAGCTGTATCACTTAACAGCAGGGTGACCTCGGGAAAAGTTGCTTCACCTCTGCCTCAGTTTCCTCATCTGTAAACGACAGCTACTCCATGGGATTGATGTGAGTCAGATCAGGCAACTTCCTAGAATGGTGTCTGGCATGAAGAACTGATAATGTGTTGGGTTTAAAAATAATAATAATAAAAAGCAGGTGTTGGCTGACTCCATTTTTGGACTAAGCTCATCCACATCCCAGGTGAACAAAAAACAGAAGGTAGGTGTCTTAGGCTGGGCGCTGTGGCTCACGTCTGTAATCCCAACATTTTGGGAGGCCAAGGCGGGCGGATCACCTGAGGTCAGGAGTTTTGAGACCAGCCTGGCCAACATGGCGAAACCCCATTTCTACTAAAAATACAAAAACTAGCTGGGTATGGTGGTGGGCGCCTGTAATCCCAGCTACTCCAGAGGCTGAAGCAGGAGAATCATTTGAACCCAGGAGGCAGAGGTTGCAGTGAGCCAAGATTGCGCCACTGCACTCCAGAGTGAGACTCCACCTCAAAAAAAAAATATATATATATATATATATACATACACACATACACATATATATAAAAGATAAGTGTCTTAGTGTGGGCTGCTGTGACAAAGACAGGGTGGCTTCAACAGCAAACACAGTTCTCACCATCCTGGACGCTGGAAGTCTGAGATCAGGGTGCTGGTAAATCTGGTCAGGAGGGCTGCTTCCCGGTTTGTGGATGGCTGCCTTCTCCCTGCCTCCCTGCATGGCTGAGAGCAAGATCTATGTTATGCACCCCTCCCCCACTTTTTTTTTTGAGATGGGAGTCCTGCTCTGTCACCCAGGCTGGAGTGCCGTGGTGCAATCCCAGCTCACTGCAACCTCTGCCTCCTGAGTTCAAGTGATTCTCCTCAGTAGAATCAGGCCTGTTCTCAGCCTCCCAAGTAGCTGGGGTTACAGGCACCTGCCACTGCGCCCAGCTAATTTTTGTATTTTTAGTAGAGAACGGGTTTCACCCTCTTGGCCAGGCTTGTCTTGAACTCCTGACCTTATGATCCACCTGCCTCAGCTTCCCAAAGTGCTGGGATTACAGGCGTGAGCCACTGTGCCAGCCTGATGCCTCTTCCTTCAAGGGCATAAAATTCATTCGTGAGGGCTCCACTGCCTCACCTGAGGACCTCCCAGAGGTCCCACCTCCAAATACCATCACTCAGCTTCAGCACAAGAATTAGGGGAAGACACAAACACTGAGTTTATGGCAGTAGGTACTGTTCCAATGCCTATTTCACAGATGAGAAAATTGAGGCATAGGCTGGGTGCCGTGGTTCATGGCCATAATCACAGCACTTGGGAGGGAAGCCAAGGCAGGAGGATTACTTGAGCCCAAGAGTTTGAAATCAGCCTGGGCAACATACTGAGACTGTCTCTAGAGAAAATTAAAAATTAGCCAGGAGGCTGGGCACGGTGGCTCATGCCTGTAATCCTGGGACTTTGTCGGGGGAGGGGGTGGGCAGCGATCACCTGAGGGCAGGAATTCGAGACCATGCCTGGCCAACATGGTGAAAACCTGTCTCTACTAAAAATACAAAAAAATTAGCCGGGCATGGTGGCAAGTGCCCATAATCCCCCAGCTACTCAGGAGGCTGAAGCAGGAGAATTGCTTGAATCCGGGAGGTGGAGGTTGCAGTGAGCTGAGATTGTGCCATTGCACTCCAGCCTGGGGGACAAGAGCAAGACTTTGTCTCCAAAAAAAAAAAAAAAAAAATTTAGCCAGGCATGGTGGTGCTTGCCTCCTGCAGTCCCACCTACTTGGGAGACTGAGGTAGGAGGATCACTTGAGCCTGGAAGTCCAGGCTACGGTAAGCCATGATCAAGCCACTGCACTCCAGCCTGGGTGACGGAGCAAGACCCAGTCTCAAAACACACCCACAGGCCAGGCCCAGTGGCTCACAGCTGTAATCCCAGCACTTTGGGAGGCCGAGGTGGGAGGATCACTTGAGGTCAGGAGTTCAAGACCAGCCTGGCTAACACAGTGAAAAATACAAAAATTCACTGGACATGATGGTGCACACCTGTAATCCCAGCTACTTGGGAGACTGAGGCTTGAGAATTGCTTGAAGCCAGGAGGTGGAGGTTGCAGTGAGCCTGTTGAGACTCTGTCTCAAATACACACACATACACACAGGAAGTCTAGTTCTAGTGTGTTCATGCCATATATATATATATAAAACCCAGGCAATGTAGCTCAAATCCAAGGCTTGGCCTGGCCCCTCTGTCTCACCCTGATGGGAGCTCTCAGAGGAATGAGCAGCCAGCTGGGCTCCCCTAGGGGAGCTTTCCCTCCCCTAGGCTAGAATAGAAATGGGAGCCAGAGCCATCTGCTCCTAACTCTGTGAGGCGAGATGTCTTTGGCGTCCCTCTCCAGCCCAGCCCTACCCCCAGCAACTGGGCTGCCTGCACCTGCAGGGAGTGGACATGGAGGAGCAGGTGGCTGAGGCCTGGGCGTGGTAACGAACATGAAACTCGTGCCCTTGTACACTCAGGTGTACATTCCTCAGAGGGGCCTGGCTTGGCTGCCGGCAATGCAGAGCAGCATTGCTCCGTCCCCTTTCCCAGCTTGGTGTCCAGCGTAGCCCATGCCTGCCACTATCTCCAGTTCCCCTTCTTCACACTCACTTCTTCGGCATATATTTATTGGGCCCCAGCACAGCTGAAGACCTGGGGGTGGCCGGGTGCAGTGGCTCATGCCTGTAATCCCAGCACTTTGGAGGCCAAGGTGGGTGCATGGCTTGAGCTCAGCAGTTTGAGACCAGCCTGGCAACATGGCAAAACCCTGTTTCTATTAAAAAAAAAAAAAAGATTGTTAAAGGAGGACCTGAAAATAAATAAATACAAATTAGCTGGGCACAGTGGGTCACGCCTGTAATCCCAGCACTTTGGGAGGCCGAGGCAAGTGGATCACTTGAGGTCAGGAGTTCCAGACCAGCCTGGCCAACATGGTGAAACCCCATCTCTACTAAATATACAAAAATCGGCCAGATGCAGTGGTTCATGCCTGTAATCCCAGTACTTTGGAAGGCCAAGGTAGGAGAATTGCTTGATCTCAGGAATTCGAGACCAGCCTGGGCAACACAGTGAAACCCCACCTCTACAAAAAATTTAAAAATTAGCCAGGTGTGGTGACCCACGCCTGTGGTCCCAGCTACTCAGGAGGCTGAGGCAGGAGCATCGCCTGTACCCAAAAGGTCTAGGCTTCAGTGAGCTGTGATTACGTCACTGTACTCTAGCCTGGTGACAGAGTGAGAGGCCCCATCTCTACAAAAAATTAAAAAGATCTAAAGACAGGCCAAGCACAATGACTCACGCCTATAATTCCAGCACTTTGGGAAGCCAAGGCGGGCAGGTCACTGGCCAATATGGTGAAACCCCATCTTTACTAAAAATACAAAAATGAACCTGGTGTGGTGGCGGGCGCCTGTAATCCCAGCTATTCAGCAGGCTGAGGCAGGAGAATAGCTTGAATCCAGGAGGCGGAGGTTGCAGTGAGCCAAGATCGCACCACTGCACTCCAGCCTGGGCGGCAGAGCGAGACTCTGTCTCAATAAATAAATAAACAATAAATAATAAAAAAGACCTGAAGATAAGCAGGCAAGCCACACAAGCATATGAGGGAGAGGGAAGAGCATGTGCCAAGGCCCTGAGGCAGGAATTTGCCTGTGTCTGAGGAGCTGCACTGAGGTCAGAGGGGCAGAGAGAGTGGAAGGAGAGAGGCAGATGAGAGAGAGGGGAGGAGTGGCGGGTGGTGGGCAGGGACCTGTCAATCAAAGACCTTTGCTCTTTACCCTGAGTGTGACTAAGAAGAGGTGAGCAATGACTATGGCTTTGCCCGCAACTGGACGCAGGATATGAGAGAAAGTGTCCTTCTCTCGCGGCAGAGCGGGCATTCCGTGTGGGTGAGAGCTCACCTGCTTTGTGCACCACCCAGAATGGTGTGACTCAGAGGGACTGTTCGCCATGCCTTGGTGAATGGGTGGCATCGCCTGCTGCCAGGTGCTGTGCTAAATGCGAGTCACTGCCAGCACAGAGGGGCTGCAAGTTTGGGTCCTGGAGATCAGTCTGTCTACCCTTTACTGCTCTGTGGACAAATCAGTTTACCACTCTGGACCTCTGTTTCTTCCTCTGTAAAAAGGAAAACTTACTTAATCTAGGAAATGGTTTTGCACAGCACCTGCCTGGCACAAGGTAAACTGATGCTCAATCAGTTTTTGTTTTCTTCTCTTTTATGGGGGTGGGTGGGGCAGGGTCTTGCTCTGTCACCCAGGCTGGAGTACAGTGGTGCGATCATAGCTCACTGCAGCCTTGACCTCCTGGGCTCAAGCGATCCTCCCACCTCAGCCTCCTGAGTAGCTGGGACTACAGCCGTGCACCGCTATGCCTGGCTCATACAAAAAAATTTTTGTGGGGCCGGGTGCAGTGGCTCACACCTGTAATCCCCGCACTTTGGGAGGCCAAGGCCGGTGGATCACTTGATGTCAGGAGTTTGAGACCAGCCTGGCCAACATGGAGAA